ACCGGCCTTTCTAGGAGTGGTGAGAGTGGTAATTGACTTTTTGGTCCCCTACCCCGCCCGCTCAACTGCTCAGTTCGATGAGGAGGGGCGGGCCGGAGGGGGGGTCGTACGGACTCGACTAAAATCCCCAACCAGTGATGTGCTCCGTCGTAAGGTGAGAAGAGTGTGGCTTTGTCACCTTTCGATGTTCTGAAAGGAAGGGTTTACGGGGTGGGCGAAGCAATTACCATGCATGAAAGTTGGTATGTAGGGTTGGAAGGGTTCATGCTTTGCGTCAGCGTTTCGAGCTACCAGGAAATATAGTTATCGATCTAGTGTTTCGAGCGTCCACCAGAGTTCTGGGTATACACCAGCGTTATGAGTCTTTTGAGCAACTGAAAAAGCTGAGATATCGTACGGGTCAAAGCTTTGGCGGATGCAAAATGCTGCATCAATACCTATACTTTCCTAGTCCTCAGAGAGATTACAGACGGCTCGAAACTCTGCGGCAAAATATGAACGCACTCTTATAGTTGTCATAGAACGAGACATGTAGGAGAAGACGCAGGAAAGAGCAGAAAAATGGAGGGACCCAAGAGCTTGACCTCATATAGGTCATAGATCTTGGATTGAAACCTCAAGTCCCTACTTCCAGAAATCTCTTTGAAGTCTTCTTGAAACCATACTTTGTTGAAGCGTACAGACCTCTTCATAAAGGTGATATTTTCACTGTCCAGGCTGCCATGCGCACTGTCGAATTCAAAGTAAGTTCATTTCCTTAGCTGGTGTGTTTAATTTCCTTTTTTCAGTTATTTTTTTACCCATTCAGGTTGTGGAGACTGATCCATCTCCGTCTTGCATTGTTGCCCCTGATACTGTCATCCATTATGAAGGAGAAGCTATCAAGCGTGAAGAAGAGGAAGAGAATATGAATGATGTTGGATACGACGACATTGGCGGAGTTAGTTTAGGTCTACTCTTGAAACACCCCTCCCCTCCTAATCTTCTGATTTCTCTTTCTTCAGGTTCGCAAACAATTGGCACAAATCAAGGAGATGGTTGAACTTCCACTTCGTCATCCTCAGCTATTCAATTCAAGCCGCCTCGCACGGACATTTTAACTGGCTGCTTTGTCCTCACGAACGGGTAAAAACACTCATAGGCGAGAGCGTGCAAAACGAGACTGGAGCATTTTTCTTCCTGCTCAATGGTAAGTGAGCACGAAGCACTCGGCATTCGCAAGTTGTCGACGTATAAAAACCTTCAGGACCCGAGATTATGTCGAAACTTGCTGGAGAGTCAGAGTCAAATTTGCGTAAAGCTTTCGAGGAATGCGAGAAAAACTCGCCGGCTATTCTCTTCATCGACGAGATTGATGCTATTGCTCCGAAGCGTGAGAAGGTTTGTATAGGGTCTACATTTTACCGAAGAAAATATGTGAATATGTTGTTAAATAAATTTTCTTTGTTTAGACACACGGAGAAGTTGAACGCCGTATCGTTTCACAACTGCTCACTCTTATGGATGGCTTGAAAGCAGAGATCCCATGTTGTGGTTATTGCGGCCACAAACAGACCCAATTCCATTGATGCTGGCTTTGAGACGTTTTGGTCGCTTTGACAGGTTCTTAACTTGCACTTTACATTTCCTAGATAAGTCCTGCTCTTTGCTACCGATAAGAGAAAGTTATGATGTTTAGAGAAATCGATATCGGTATTCCGGACGCGGTTGGACGTCTTGAAGTACTTCGTATCCATACAAAGAATATGAAACTAGCCGATGACGTCGATCTGGAACAGGTGCTTTTGCTTTTGTTTAAGCTGCGTACCTTATAATATCTCGGGTATGATAGGATGGGACTCTTCAGCTGCTGGGGCAGGGATCCCTTGGCCTGGGCCCCAAGCTTCATTGTCCTAAAATTCTTTTTGCCGTTTTGACTCGATATTTTTGGGCTTTTAAAATAGAGCCAAGCGACGTTAGGCGCGCTCTCGTAAAACAGTTGGTCGCGGACGTTTTATCACCACATTTGGGCTTTGATCATTGAGTTGTATCAGCCCAACAGTATGCTTGCGAGTGTGGGCGGGTGCAGAAATTTCACCATGAACCCTCAACTTCGGTCATGGTAGGTAGATCCATACCCAACAACTAGTCACCAGTGTCTAGGTGATTTACCTGACTTATCCAGTGCTTCCTCGTCGGGTCGTAGGTAGGTGCGCATGTCGCGCATGACTCCGTGACGTCGTAGCGCGAGTTTCCCGACCACCCCCTTCAATTTCGGGGACTAACCTAGTGGAGGGGACCTCACGCCCGCGCCTCCGTATCCTAATCAAGTGTTAAGCTTGATGGAAGCTGTATCTCTCTGTATGACCATCCCTAGGCCACTTGGTCGTTGGCGCTTTAGGCGCAAGCCCTTATGGATGAGATGCGGACACGGCCGAGAAGTGGTCCTCTCCTCCCCCCCCCCCCCCAACTGCGTTAGCATCTGCAAGCCTTGTTATGCTGGTGCAGTGCGTTTATTTTTGAGGTTTGGGCGAAAATGTTGTTGGAGGCCCATATGACACGGGCCGAAATCCTTTTGCGTCTTTTTCCCCTAGCCAAGGCTTAGCAGTTATGTGCCAACCAGAACTTTTAGTGGAGGTCCTGGCGCGAAAGGCTAGAGCGCAGGGAAATAAGGACTGCGGATACCACCAAGGCGTTGAATGCAAAGAAACTGTCGCGAATCAGGAGATAAACCTTTTTTTGGATAGGGGATTTCAGGGTAGATGAGTCACATATTGTGTGAAACCAGGCTTAAGCTCGGAGTGCGGAAACTCTACCCCGGGTTACCCTTGCAGAGCGGGCAGTCTGAATGTCAGCCAGCCTAGGCTTGGTAAGAGAGGCCAAGGCGCTGTGGAACATTCCCTCTCCCTCCCAAGTGCGTTAGTGCCACATTGTTTACTATCCTAGAGCTTTTTTGCAACATCATTGAGCTCTTATGATTAATTGGTCCAGTTTAATAATTCAGATTGCAAATGAATGCCATGGTTATGTCGGTGCTGACCTGGCATCGCTGTGCTCCGAGGCAGCATTGCAACAGATTCGTGAGAAAATGGATCTAATCGATCTCGAGGATGACACTATCGATGCCGAAGTGCTCAATTCCTTGGCAGTATCCATGGAGAACTTCCGAGTATGTATTTGGTTGCATGGCTCTGTAAAAACTATTTATGAACGCGTTTTTTTTTTCAGTTTGCGATGGGCAAGTCTTCGCCATCAGCTCTGCGTGAGACCGTTGTCGAAACTCCCAACATTACTTGGGACGATATCGGAGGTTTGTCGTAGGGTCCTTGACCT